CCAAGCCACCTCCAATGCCACCTTCCAAACCTGTGACTAACACTACCTAGAAGGACAAAGGCACAAGATGCATCGGAACACTATCACCCACAAGTTCCAGGCACACACATATTTCCAGTGTCATTGGGTCAAAGCTCTGGGGCTCCCTCCTATCAGTGCTGTGGGTATACATACTTTCCACAGACTGCAGTGGTTCAAGAAAGCAGCTGGCCATCACCTTCTCAACAATACTTGGCTTATTCAGGGGCTATGATCATGTGTTTTAGAATCACACCGACATCAATGTTGGAGAGTGAAACCGCACAGGCTACGGACTAACACATAGGAATACTAGTAGCAACTTCGAGATTTTCATGTTATTAGGGAGGCAGTGGTGAAATGGTTATGACAATGGGCTAGTAATCTGAAACCCCAGGCAAGTGTTCTGGGGGCATGTGCTTGCATCCCATCATGACAATTCACAGAATTTGAAATTAATTTTAAAAAATCTTTGTAAAATGTCTAATGGTGGCCAGGAAGCCATTGCTGATTGTTGGAAAAAAAAATTATATCCCTGTGGAAATCCAGCAGTTCCCTGCACCTTACCAGCGGCTCTATATGACCTAATCATGTGATTTTTATTGGCCTTACCAACATAAATCTATGGCGCACAATCCCTAGTTCTTTAATTTCCTTTCTATAATATTTGCACAAAACCACCAACAGTGATCTTAACTGTGGATTTAATCAATGTTTTGTGTAAGTTCATATTTGCTTCTTTTGTGCTCCATGCCCCATTTGATAGAACATAAATGTCCTTTTAAATGGCTGTATAATCAAAGACATTTATGTTGAAAGCCATGTTTGCCTCTAAATAGTGGGTTAGCAACTCTAAAAATTTTTGAGTGACATTATGAATTATTTGAATAGAAAATAACAATCTCTCCAAATTTAATATCTTTGAATGAAAAATTATGCTTACATTAAATATTGGTGCAATTTTTTTTGTATGTTGGTAAACACGAGTATTCTGCCAGATTAATTGCTATTTTTAATTGTTATGGGAAAAGTGAAGTAAAAATGTTAACAGTAAAGTGAACGCAATCTCTTACATCAAAGCAGGAAGGAATATATCCTAGCAATTTTCTGGTTCCTACCATTCAATTTTGAACTTTATGAAAAGGGCACGTTAGGCTCCAGGTATAAAATATATCTATTCCACAGCATTTACTGTGAAGAATTTTGATTTTCAGTTAATTGCGGCAGTAACTTTTAATAATTTTTGACAAGACTTCCCAAGTCCTGAGATTCCCAAGTCCACAAGTGAGTCAACAAGCAGAATGGAAAGAAAACAAACAGATTTTGATGACATAGAGTATCTTCATAATTAATCTTAGCTGTTGGTTCAAAAAGACAACAGAACTGTTGGGCCGGAGGAGAAATCTTTCATGATTGGTTTGTTTATTCTGCAGTTACTACAAAAAATAAACATTTGGCAACTGTGAACAATGTTGATAGCATCAACGGACCATACGCCTTCATGTTTTATATTCAGTGTCAAAGTTATGAGCAGACTGTTTTCAGCAGCTTGTATTTATTTTGGTCCAGCAGGCCATATCTGTCACAGTCAATTACGAGACAGGAAGATGAAGAATGTGATAAAGTTAAAAGTTTTCATTTCCTTTTCTTTCTTTTACAAATGTACATTTACCTCAGTTTCAAAAGATTAAATTTTTATTCTTCTTGATTTTTCTTCAGATAGTGAGGCTTATGACTATTTGTACAGCTGGAATGCATTGAACTGAATTGAATTAAAATGTTCAGGTCTTGCATTCCCAAAAATTTTGTTGAGAATTCTTTTGAATGAAGCAGGGGCTGAGTGACACATCTTTTACTAGTGGGCATGAGCTGGAGACTTATGTGGAAAGTAATCATTTTAGAAGTGTCTGAAGAATATATCTATAAAAAATGTAAGGTTAACAATGGATTCAATTTTATTTAAAAACAAGCTGTTTGAAAGACACTTGCTGTTGTTCATGTGTAAGTCACTGAGCAATTTGTCATGCACCCTGTACGAATTACAAATCAATGCAAGTTACTGGCCAAATTTCACAACTCCACTGTTAACCTCTTCCATAGACAGTAGTGAAGGCTCAATTGTTGACTATATTAAAAGCTGCATTCAACAAGATCTATAAGATAGTCAAGTATTGAGGGGTTGAGGGAGGAGAAAGCAGGAAAGTGGAGTTCCAGTGCAATCAATGATTGATTGATTACTGGATCAGGCTAAATTGACAGAATGGTTTATTTCTGCTCGTATTTCTTAGGATTTCATAACGTTATGATCCCTGTGATTTTTATTAATTGATGTATTACACCTAACTTTGTGTTTAATATGCAACTAATATCTATGCACAACCTTTTATTGATATAATTGTTAATGGCTGCCAATCAACGTCATGCTCAGAAAACAAAAGTCAAAAGTGTTGGTTATTAATTCCTTTGGGCTGTCTTTACCAATTCAATCTGTCTTTATTTCTGTTTAAGATTTGACATTGAATTCACCCTGCTAACTTACCTTCTTTCTTTATACATTTTTCAATTCTTATATATTGAACATATCCAATCAAGGATGAATGTGCTATTTATTCTCTTGCTCGGTTAGGTCTCAGCTGTCTTGTTATGTTACCAATCTGCATTTCTCGCAATTTTTGAAACCAAAAGTGTAAACAACATGTTATACTTCAGCAACGCCTAGCCTGATAGTTTTAGATTCCATCTTTAAAATTGTTCGAAGACACAGTTATTTTTAAAACTGCGACTTGCTTATGTTGCCATAGTTATACGCAGTGCCTGTAGCCAGACTATAGATATCCAGAATTGTATGATAATAATGATTTATTTCTCACTAAGATATGTTTCTGGATCTTCTGCTTTGCTCGTTTAATTGCAGTTTACCTGCTCTCACACTGTTATCTTCATCAGTGTTGTGTTGAATGACTTTGGAAGAAATATTTTGCTGTAACAGTCTAGTCATTGTGAAGTTATAACAGTACTTTTTGTTTTTCTCAGATAACTGTAGGTTGTTAATGAAATGACATAGAAGTTACTGTATTCTGCCTTTTTATTTAAAATGAGCTGATCACTGATATATGTTTGAGAGTGATACCAAATGCAGAATTCAATAAAACAGAATGAACATAGAAGAAATGCTATTTTAGTTCACCAGGGCAGCCCTATAGTCCAAAAACAGAATTTATAATTCAATGCCTAGGTCCCTCAGTTGGCGTTTTTCATCAAATGCTCTCTATTTTATTTTTAAAATGATGAACGTTCTCAGCCTTGATTGCTCTCCTTAACCATCCATTTCAAACATGTACCGTCTTTCTTTGATGCATTTAAACCTGACCTGTCCATTCACTTTGCTTCTTTCACATTTCAGTCTTTGCTCCATTTTCATTCTAGAGGTTATAGGAATATTTTCTTAGGGTTAAACTTGTCACTGCCCATAAACATATAAATGTGACAATAAATTGTTAATCCTCTCTCTCTTCTCTGGTATAAAGAAATTCAGCCTCTCTTTGTCTGCTCTTTGTGCTCAAGTATCTGTTGTGAAGTATGGGAATTCCTTTACTGTAGCTTTTCCAGTTGCATGATATCCTTCTTATAACATGTGCAGAGACCAGAAGTATATGCAATACTTCACACCAGGACAAACCAGTGCACTGTCTATGTTAGTTACTGTATCCTGTAGTTTCTGATTGTGATTTCAGACACTCCTGGCTGCCTTTATTGCTGCTCGCACATAATGCTAATTATTTCAACAAACTGTCCACAATTGGCCCTCCTTTTCTTAAGCTGAATCCTAACAAAATTTAACTTCCAAATCCAATAGTTATTTCTCCATCCCTTGTCAACTTGTCAACAAGAAATTTACTTGATCATGTCACACCCTAGCTATCCAATATATCCAGATCCTTCTGGACTGGTTGGGTCTGATCTTGATTTGTTTTTACAGTAGCTACCAATATCTTAAGTGTTGTCACCAATTTGACATGTCCACTTCCAAATTATTACTATATAATTTGATTGGCTAAGGTTCCAAAGTCAGATACACTGATTTTCCCCTGCAATATATGTCTCTGAAAAATCCCCTTCAATGCAGTCAGCTGCCAATCCATTTCAATAGCTTGCAGTTTATTCCATATGTTTCTACTTTACAGGTTAACCTTCTATGGGTAGTGCTGAAGCAAATGGAAAGCTATTCAAATGCTCTGATATCATATCAAATCATTGTAACAACAAAATCTGTATTGCATCAGATGCAAAGTGCTGGATTTAAGGAATTCCACCTTTTTGTATTTATTCCTTGCAATAACAGTCCAAACAGCTTTCCTAACATTGATGTTATGTATATTTTCAGGTTATGATACATTGACTTTATAATTAAGGCATAATGTGGTTTAAATAAGCCTTCTATTCAAGAATTGGCCTTGCTATTTATTATAGCTGACTTCGGGTCTATATATATTTCTCAAACATCTTGTCCAGTTAAATAACATTTTCTTCAATATTGTATAAATACATTCCAATATCCTCTCACTAAATGTCGATTATTTGCATGCTTCTTCACTTACCTGCACTGAAAAGACATCAGTATGCTCAATATTTTCAAAGTTTTCAATTCCCTCTTCTCATTAGTCATTGATGCATTACACGAAGTGTTAATTCACTTCAAGTCAATTACAGCTCTAAAGTAACATTACAATTGTAAAAAAAAACTGTGTGTAGTTCCAGTGCTTTCATTTTAGCCAGCAGTGAATAGCTATTAGCTCAGCTTTTTTATCCTCTGCTTCCAAGAGTTGTATTTCGTGAAAAGTATCTAAGTGAAGACAGGAATGCCTGGGAATGATGGTTGGGGTGGGATCATCTAATTACACTGTTAAATTGTTTAAGTCTTGCATAACTGAACAATAGAAGCATTTGCAATATTTTCTGATAAACTGAATGTTGTTTCCTAGGCTCAAATTTTTCACTCCGAGAGTTAGGACTGACTGAAGCTACACCTCATCCTGGCACTGGATATCGGACAGATTTCGGACTGCCACACCACGGATACTCGATAACCGCGCGCTCTGACACTGAAACAGATGGGGTCATGTCTCCTGAAAATGCAATGAGGCTTTGGGGACAAAATGCCAAATCAACACGAAGCTCCTGCTTATCCAGTCGGGCAAATTCTGCACTCACTCTTACTGACACAGAGCTTGAGAATACAGAAAATGGTAAGAAACCAAAAAATGAATTTATATTCCACCTGGAAGAAGTTATTTGAATAAAGAATCTCCGAATTATGTTGTTTGCATTACAAATAGTGCTATATTTGCAGTTAAAGATCAGAGTAGTTGAACTAGAATCAAAATCAGTTTTATCAATGCTGTCATAAATAGGTGAGGAGGAGTGAAATGGTTTCCGAAAGAACTGCAGATGCTGTAAATCAGAAACAAAAACAGAAATTGCTGGAAAAGCTCAGCGGGTCTGGCAGCATCTGTGATGAGAAATCAAAGTTAACATTTCGGGTCTCTTCCCAGGGTCACTGGACCTGAAAAGTTAACTCTGATTTCTCTCCATAGCTGCTGCCAGACCTGCTGAGCTTTCCCAGCAATTTCTGGTTCTGTTAGTGGAAAGGTTTTGCCTGTTTTCCCACTCCATGTCTGATTGTCACAGAGATTTTGAATTGAACATGTTAAAGACTGTATTTGCCAGTTCAGTGTATACTTATTTATTTATGTGTGGAAGGCAAAGCATTAGCCCAGACAGGACTTTTAATTTTAGTAAGTAACAGTTTAGTTTAAAAATATTAAAATGTCAAAAAATATGCCCTGAATTCTGCAACTTGCAGACATGCTCATACCAAACATGCAAAAATGCAAATTACATAGCACAAGAGGTTAACTTTGGACAGGTTGAAATTCAGTAAGAAAGACAAAGTGCGTGGTATTCATTGGTTGTAACTGGCTGTCTGGTTTGGCTGTAAATATCTGAAGCTTTGGTCCTCAGCTGGAAATTTAAGGTTGCAGCTGAGTCTTCTCTTCTGGAAGTGCTGCCATGGAAACCTTTTAAAGTTCCCTGTCTGCGTGTGGGAACGTAGGCATCATGAAACTTGGCAGACAGACTGCCATCTTAGATGGAGCTACTGAGAGAGAGAAAGAAAGAAGATTTCTTAGCTGCTGGTAGCTTCAGCTGGCCCAAATGCAAGTAGCACACATGGTGTGGCTGGTCATGTGATTTATCTTTAACTGTGGCAGACATTCAAAGCTCCAGTGTCTACTCCAAAAAGGTAGCTTTTCTTGTTTAAGTTCTGCGCAGTGACGTTTTGAATTGAGGTACTGTGTCCCAGCAATTAACTTCTGTATAGTCATTCTCATGGCTGACTCCAGTGAATTTCTGTTTTTGATAAGGCAGATAGGGAGCAGTTAACATTTCTCCAGGGCTTTATTGTTTCTGGTTATATCTTTATACACTCTCCACCTCAATCTCAATGGAGTGGAGTGTGGACTACGTGGCAATGCAAATTGACAGCATTTCTTTTATAATTCCTGTTAATGCCCTCGATTCATTAAACATTGTCTTTTAAAGTCGGTCCATAGTCTACCTGCAGCTGATGAATTAAAAACTATATTTGATGTAGCACATCTTCATGGCACAACCAACAAACTGTGTTTTTCATCAAGGACTTCCTGAAATAAAAAGCAGTATTGAACCTTTTTGTCAGTGTAACATGATGACACAGATCACATCAAATGCATCAGTGCATTGCTTGCTCATGACATGTATTGCAATGAAAATGACACGTGCCAGCACTGACGTCTCTCCTGGGCATAAAGTGAATGTCTTTCAAACTGCAGGAAGGCTAACACAAAATTCAATGTTCTGTTATCAAAACATGTCAAATATACAAAAAGCAACAGCAAAAGTTTGTATTTATATTAATGTGTTAAAACAAGTGAAACATTAGAAAATGAAATACGACATCAAGCCAACCAGTCGCGTTTCATTAAGAAATATGAGGTGAGATAACCAAAGAGGTAAATGATTGGTTTCAAGGAGTGTCTTAAAGCTGGAAATTGTGATAGAGTTGTGGACAATTATAGGGTGGGCATTCCAGAGATTTAGTATATGCTGCTGAAAGCATGAACATTATTGATGGAATGATTAAAATTGGAGATGCTTAAGAGAAAAGAACAAAACTAGGGACCACAGAAGGATTTGAAAACAGAGATTTAAACATTTCCATCAAGGCGTTATTTGATTGCAAGACAATATAAACGGAGGAGTGATGGGTGAGTGGAACTTGGCATGCTTTTAGATATGGACAGCAGAGGTTTGGAGTGACTTTCGTTTTATGGGGTATAAAACATGATAGACCAACCAGGAGTGCTTTGTCAATTCCATAGGCAACAATGGTATGAATGAGGGTTTTAGCTGCAGAAGACCTGAGAAAGGGGTGAAGTTGGGTGATGTAACAGAGGTGGGAAAAAGAGTCTTTGTGATGATGCAGGTAATGCAATGATAATGATTTTGGATGTACAGTTTAGAGTGAAATGTGACACCAATGTTGCATTAAGCAAATTAGAAGCTGCAGAAATGCTGTGGTGAATAGAGAGACAAAGGCTAGATGGAGCACCAATAAACAATAAAACTGTTTATTGAATGAACAATGCAATTCATACTTGGGTGGCTGTTTCTACTATTTTTCTGCATTTGATGGACATTTTCAGTAGGTTACATGGGTGCAATTTGATATTTACCGATCCTTTTCCTAAGTTAAAGAGTTAACAATCCAATGTAAGATAACAAGGTATAGAGCTGGATGAATACAGCAGGCCAAGCAGCATCAGAGGAGCAGGAAGGCTGACGTTTCGGGCCTAGACCCTTCTTCAGAAAATCAAATGTCCTATTATAAATATTTGTCCTAAAATAACAATCCAATGTCCTTTCTTTTCTTGTTTCTTTCAATATAACACAAAAACCTACTAAAGTTTCATCCTTTGATAATGCATTAAACTGTCACATTACATGGCATCTTCCTCTTGTTTGAATTCGTAGTTACCTAATGTCATGATAGTGTCTTGACTCTCAAATTGGTCTTTTCAATGAATTAGCTTAGATAGTTCACTAATCAACTTTTTTTTTTAGTCATACCAATAGTTTGATTAATTTCCCAAATATTTCATAAGCTCTGGTTATTCATTCATTATATTCATCAATTTTGGTTCCTGCACTATAAGAGCATAAGATGTACTGATCAATGTTTCATAGCTAGAAATCATACTTTGTAAACCCGTGATGTCTTGTTTGGCATCTTGTCTCATTTCACGCCAGTGGTTTTGCGAGCTGTCACAAGGAATGCTTATTGTAGCTGGCATTATGTCCATTATTAAGCATCCTGAACCAACATTACCATGATTTGTAATGTATCTGAATACAATTCAAGCTATAACATTAACCTTTTGAATAAGGGCATCATACTGTGTACCCGTCTTCCAGTAGACATTTTCGATCCTTTGACTAAGCAGTCTCTAATAGCTTCTGGCCTATCCATTTCTCTTACACCTTGTGACATAAATACAACAGTCCTCATGAAAAAGAAGTTTTCTTTCTTTTTCTCATTCAACTCGATTTTGACAATCTTCAAAACTAATTGTCCCCCAATCTGTTCTCCCATTATGATTAGCATTAAATGTATTCTTTTTGGCTCTATCTAATAATCTGTACCTGTTTCTATGACCTTTAATCCTGATGTTACTTTATCTATCATATTCAGTGTATCTACAATCAGATTTATCACTATTCTGCATCCTTTCATTCTTTTTTCTTTCTCAGGCCACCTTCATCTTTGGAAACTTGCCTTGCTGATTGTATCATTGATAAAAATGACATGTCTTACTCTTAATAGTACTGTCTTCTTATTCTGGCATCAATGAACCATAATTCTCTATCTAATTAACAATGAGATTCATAATGCTTTCCATTATTTATGTACAAAAATAACAGCAACCTTAGGTCAGGTGAGTTGTGTGACTGATCTCAAAAATGTCAAAAAATTGCTTTCAGAGTTACACGTTATACTATCACCATAGATATATTGTCTTCATGCTCACCGTTGAAATACATTGAAGTTCCAGTATGTAGACCTACCCCCACCACAGAAAATTAATTCATGTATATTTCAGTTTAAGTACCATTTTAGGAATGTCAAATGCCAGTAAACCTCTCTGGCACTGAAAATTAGTCATTGCAGGAGTGGACTTTCACTTCTTCAGGTTTTAATATTTTTGACGATGAAACTGTAAAATTTAAATGATTATTATTACTTGCCTTTTCTGCCTCTTATGAGCAGTTCTATTCAATCATTCTTTTCGTCTCCCTATTTTAGTTTTTCTGTCTGATTTGATATTGAATACACCCACTCAATTTCACATCTCCTTCTCCATCCTTGTATTTATTTCTCATTTCTTTAATTTATTAAACACCTATTGATTTTCCTCCAACGTCAGGTGATTGCCCTCTGTGAAAAATCAAGACCCACTTCCAGCAACTTGCCGCACAAAAAAAGTGTATAAATCTAAATATGCAATAGCAAATACTGCTTTTGAATTATTCAGCACCTTGAAAGTTGTGGCTGTGTCCGTAACATGGTTCTCAGCTGCTCTGATCAAAGTGTGACATGTTTCCAACGTGAGGCAACTTTGGAATATTTCTCTCAGTTATTTAAATGAAAAATCTGTCATTGGTTTTGATACTTTTAAAAGCTTTCGCAAGGTCTGACACTGGAACTTGGGACACATTCCCTTGAATCCATCAAATCTACTTATGGAGATGTAACTCACTCAGAGATAGTAAGAACTGCCAATGCTGGAGTCAGAGGTAACACAGTGTGGAGCTGGAGGAACACAGCAGGCCAGGCAGCATCAGAGGAGTAGGAAAGTTGACGTTTTGGGTTGGGACCCTTCTTCAGAAAAAAAAAAGAAGGGTTCCGACCTGAAATGTCAGCTGTCCTGTTCCTCTGATGTTGCGTGGCCTGCTGTGTTCCTCCAGCTCCACACTGTGTTATCTATGTATGGAGATAATGCTTGCTTTAAAATCAGCCTGTCTTAGATCTGATTTGTTTTCTCATCAATTTAGAAAATCTCCAGGGGTACCCTCACCTTTACTCTTGTTCTTTCTTCACATTTATCCTCCAGCGCTACCTATACCTTGAACAATAATTCCATTTTATATTCATCAGGTTATTTCTGATAATGAGCCTAAGCCTTCAGCCCTCCCATAGTG